TATGAATACATATTTTCCGTGCATCGCACCTGTGAAATTTCTAATTGTTTAAATATTGAAAGTTTCCGAATCAAATCCCCTGAATTCGAAAAATCCGTCCACTTTCCATTCCTAGACTAGATGAAAAACATTTGCGGGGTCACCCCATGCAATGATTACAAAATTTATTCTTTAAAATACTTTTCTATTTCAGAATTTTAATTTGAAAAATGAAAGAAACGGTAGAAGTGGAGCTTCGCTATTTTCATGGACGAATTGGGATCGGCGGTCGTGGCGGCGGTGGCGGAGGACTTGGCGGCTTTAGTTTGAGAATTGTAGCCAGTAGTTCATTTGACCTAGAATCTAATAGTTGCAATATATAAGAAAAAATATTAGAAAACAATGACATTATTTTTTTATTCTTATATAATTAAGAACCAACAATAAGGCATAAGCTATACAATTAGTATACTACGTAACTTTTACCTTCGTGTAATAATTTGCAAACCACATAAAAGATGTAAACAACACCAAACATAATTATAGTCTACGCGATAAACTCAATCTAAATACGGCGGCAAAATAATTCATACTCAAAAAATAACTTAACTTATTACGTACTCTCTTGCCACTAACACTGATATACCAAGAAACTATTACCTAATTTTCTCTTTATTTTTTGCCGAGATCTAAGCTAAGTTAGGGTAGAGTGGGGGTGGGGGCTATCACCCCCAATATTTTTTTCTTAGTTTAGTTAATCACCTAACACTCAGACTTTGTTTAATGAAATAAAACGATAGGTTCTATTGGTCTAGCTAGTATCCATGCCTATTACCAAGTCATTGACATTTTTATTTGTAATTAAATTTGTAAATATTTACTTAGTTTGACAATTTCATATGAATACATTTTAGAAAATCACACCGAGGAAAATAACGAAATCATAAATTGAAACTTCTTCAAAACGAACGACCATGTTCTGTATTTTATTTAAAAATATATATATATATATAAAAAAGAAAAGGTAAAGCCGCGTAGATACCTGGAAATATTGTTCTTCCTTCAATTAAGGTAAAACCAAGTAATATGAGTATGACAATAATCACCTCGCTGAACCGTTTCATCTTCCCTAATTTGATGTATATTAAAGGGATTAGACGGACTTTGCGTTTTTGCAGATATTTATAGAATAAGGTAAAATATCTCAAAGGACTTATATAGATATTTTCTGATGGATATTTGTGCTCGGAATTTAATAGTTATAATTTTCAAAAGAAAGAAAACTTCAATTTCGCGTGAAAGAAAAATTCTTAGCTTAGAACTTTCCTGCCTTTATATTTAAGTTGTTCACAATGTTTTTTTTTTCTTTCTTTGATCATATTTTTGGTCTAAAGTTATAAATGGTCATTTATTTCACCTTGACTGTAGTACTTGCATGTTAGTCAATGCATGGATCAGTAGGTTATACACCCTCTATTTTATATTGACTGCTTCAAATGAAATAATATTTACAAAGTGAAATTTCATATATCACATAGAAATTTCAATATTTAAAAACTTTACTTTCTCTCGAACTCCCTCAACCCAAAAATTCTCTCAGACATTTATTTTCGTTTTTTTTTCTTTCAATTCTATGTTGTGCAACACGGACTCCGAAATATGGGTTCCGAGTTGGGTCAACATGGGGAAACCAAAATTTGTTTTTCGAAATAAATAAAAAAATGGGTAATATGCTAGAGGTCCCTAGTTGGAAATATAATTAGATGTTGAATACAACGTTAATATTTTTCTATGAATTAAATCATTTTTAGAAAAATAAATATGAGTCATATCCTCAATTTTTCTTTTATCCCTAATTTACCATTAACTTAAATTCATAAATTCTAAAGTCACGTTTCTCTCAGATTTATTTTTTCTTTTTTCTTCTCTTGATAAAATTCTCGAGAAAAGCTTATGTATTTCTCTGTATCTGTGTGTCGTTATATAACTTCACGTTACATCATATATTTATATGCGGCTGAGAGAAATCAACCCTAGTTATACAGCTTTTCCGTAAGAAAGGAAATAACCAAAGATAAGCTAAAGAAAATATATATCGTGATTTGGGTAAATCTGACCAAATCTGCCAATACTAGGGTAATGAACGACGAGTAATGGGACAACTCGCTTAGGGGTGGTAAACGAGCCGAGCCGGCTCAAAAAAAGCTCGAACTCGAGCTCGGGTTTTTCGAGCTCGAGCTCGAGCTCACGAGCTCGAGCTTCGGACGAGCTCGAGCTCGAGCCCAAAATTAGTTGTTCGGCAGCTCGCGAGCTGCCTTCTTAATTTTTTTTTTTTCTTTTTTTCTTTTTACATATATATATATATATATATATATATATATATATATATATATATATATATATATATATATATATATATATATATATATATATATATATATATATATATATATATATATATATATATATATATATATATATATATAGCGCGCGCGCGCGCGCGCGCGCGCGCGCGCGCGCGCGCGGCGCGCGCGCGCGCGCGCGCGCGCGCGCGCGCATATATATATATATATATAGAATATTCTATTTCTAATTATAATATTATTATTATTATTATTATTATTATTATTATTAACTAAATAGTAAATAGTCTATAATAATAAATATATCTAGTATTTAAATAGAAACAAATCTATATTACTTAAATAATTCATAATAATATAAAATATTATAATAATAATAATAATAATAATAATAATAATAATAATAATAGAAAAAATAAAATATATATATAACTAGAGTTTATTATTTATTTTATATTTTTTTTATTTTCCTATGAATAATTTTTAATAAAAAATAAAATGATTTTAATAAAAAATTAAATAATAATAATAAAAAATAAAAAATAAAAAAATTAAAGAAGCTCGAGCTCGCCAAAATTGGCTCGAGCTCGAGCTCGAGCCAAAAATAATTGACTCGATGAGCTCGAGCTCGAGCTCGAGCTCGGCAACATGGACTCGAGCTCGAGCTCGAGCTGGCCAAAAGAGCCGAGCTCGGCTCGAGCTTGGCTTGTTCCCACCCCTAAACTCGCCCACTCGGAATCGCAATAGGCAAACAACTGAAGATTACTATTCGCGCGGATCATGATGCCTAGACCAGGCCGACCTTTCAAATATCGAACAACACGAAGCGCAGCCTCCCAGTGACGAGTTCGGGAAGCTTGCATGAATTGAGCCAAACTATGTACCGAATAACACAACTCCGGTCGAGTAATAGTTAAGTAAATCAATCGACCAACCAGTCGTCGATACGCCTCGGGGTCATGCACAAATTCACTATTATCGAGAGCAAGGCCATGGTTTTGCTCTAACGGAATATTGGCAGGCTTTGCACCGAGCAACCCGGCCTCGGAAATAATATCCAATGCATACTTGCGTTGAGACAAAAAAATACCCTCTTTGCCGCGAGCCACTTCGAGACCTAAAAAATATTTTAGTCGCCCAAGATCCTTCATATGGAAACACCGATTGAGATAACTCTTGAAACGATCTATAGACTCCCGATTATCCCCTGCTATAATTAAATCATCCACATATACAAGTATGACCAAGAATAGCCCATCACGTCGCATTGTGAATAAAGAATAATCCGAATAAGATTGGGAAAATCCATAAGACAACAATGCGCTAGATAATTTTGCGAACCAATTTCTTGGTGCCTGACGTAAACCATATACCGACTTGCGCAAACGGCATACCTAATTATGAGAAGAAGAACTGAGAAAGCCAGGTGGCGGTCGCATGTATACTTCCTCAGCCAAGTCACCATGGAGAAAATCATTTCGGACGTCCATTTGATGGAGTTCCCAGTCATGTATAGCTGCCGAAGCTAGTAATACCCAAACGGTTCCCATCTTGGCTACCGGTGCAAAGGTTTCATGATAATCAATCCCTTCCTTCAGCCTGTTCCCTAAAATCACCAGGCGAGCTTTGTAGCGTTCAACCGTGCCATCGGAATTATATTTTATCTTATACACCCATTTGCAACCAATGGGTTTCTTACCTTGTGGCAAAGTCACAACAGACCAAGTTCCATTGTCTTCAAGAGCTTGAATCTCTTCTTTCATAGCCTGACGCCATTTTTCATCTTTCACTGCCTCGGAAAAACGTGTTGGCTCGAAACCTGCACTCACGGCTGCAAGAAATTTTCTGTGTTGCACAGTGAACTTATCAGAACAAGCATAATTAGCTATGTGATACGGAGTACCTGAGGAACTGTGAGTAAGCGGTGGCACCGAGACGGGATCAAGAAGACGTGTGGTGTGACAAATGTAACCTGTTAAGTGACTGGGTGCTTTGCGAGTACGAGTAGGACGTGTTTCCTGGGTTGTTGGTGCTGCATCACCCTCGTCATTCGAAGTAGGGCGTGTTTCCTGGGTTGTTGTTGCTGCATTACCCTCGTCGCTTGAACTCCCCCTGTCAACAGTGTCATCAATTTTCTCCCCATCATCTGATGTCTCAGATGTAGATATCAAAGTAGAATCGAAAAATTCCGGACTACCCAATTCCTCATTTCGCAACTCAATTCCCTTATCATCAGAATTATTCGTTGTACATGCAAAAGGAAATTTATTTTCGCTAAAAACAACATCCCTAGAGACGAAGAACTCCTTAGTCTCCAAATCTGACCAACACGGCCATTCTGTTACGGAGTACCAACACAAGACGTTTGGTGTAAAATACCATTAGTTTCAAAATATTCTTTTAGACATGTAAACTTTGTTCCATTATCACTTCTCACTGTTTTAACGACTTTGCCAAATTGTCGATTCACCATAGCACAAAAATTTTGCAAAATAACAGAGACTTCTCGTTTCTCAATTAACAAATAAATCCAAACAGACCGAGAAAAATCATCAACAATGGTCAAAAAATATACTGCTCCACAAGTAGAAGGAGTACGATAAGGCCCCCACAAGTCACAATGAATCAATGAAAATAACTCAGTAGCTTTATTATCACTTAAAGGAAAAACATCTCTTGTTTGTTTGGCACGAAGACAAATTTCACAATGCTTAAATATTCCACTATTGGTGTCAAAAGTAAAATTGGAGAAGACCCGACTAGACGAAATGAGGGATGCCCGAGACGTTTATGCCAAAGCTCCTCGTTATCTTTGCAGCCAATCTTGTGAGCCCGTACCTTTGTCACACCACGCAATACGTAGATCCCGTCACGATAGTCACCCACTCCAATCACCGTCCTCATAGTGCAATCCTGTATCACACACATTTTTTTAGTAAGAGTGATTACAGAATTTGTCTCATTTAGAAACTGTCCAACAGATAGCAAATTGCAGTTTAAGTTAGGAACAAATAACACATTATTCAATTTAATTTGTTCTCCAAGAACCGTTGTCCCTTCTTTTGTTGCCACTATTTCTGCGCCATTGGGAAGTCCAACAGGATAGTTATGGACATCATGTGACTTAGTGAGAAGATCATCACAGCCGGTCATATGATGTGATGCGCCGGAATCGATAATCCATTGATCGCAAATCTTACCGGTTTGTTTGTCTGTGAACGTCAATTTCTGGTCATTGAGTAAATTCCTCAAAGTGGCCCATTGTTCACTTGTCAAGATAGACAAGTCGCCTTTATCTGCATCAGTCAATGAAGAAGTAGAACCTTTGCCGAGTGTCGTTTGCGCTGCATGTGCACGAGCAATCCCACGACCGCAACCTCCCCCTCTGACCGAGCCCTTACTGCCTCCACGCCCCAACCCTTTCGGACGATCTCCCCACCAGTCCGGATACCCGACGACTTGGAAGCAACGAGTTTCGTCATGTCCCGCTCGACCACAGTGGTTGCACAGTTCTGATTTATCTCGCGTAACATTTGGGCCACCCTGAACTTTGCTTTGGGCGAGGTAGGCGACTACATCAATCCTATCATCTTTATTTCGAGCAACTGTACGGTGTTGCTCTTCGGTCATAATCATTGCATAAACCCGATTCAAGTTTGGCAGTGGATCTAAATTCAAGATGGTAGAACGCACTGTTCCAAACATGGAATCCTCAAGTCCCATAAAAAATTGATGGACTTGTTCGTCATCTCGTCGTGCCCGCAATTGCTGCGTTATCTGACATTTGCAACCACCACAATTACACGTAAAAATAGGTTCGTAGTCATTGATCTCATCCCACAACATCTTCATTTTTCCGAAATATTCAGCAACTGAGTGGCCTCTCTGTTTGCAGTTTCCCAACTCAGTCTTCAAGTGATTGATTTTCGGCCCATTCGCGACCGCAAATCTCAACTGCAAGTCTTCCCAAAGTTCTTGAGCGGTTTCCCGATAAGTAATTGTTGATCGAAGCGTTGGTTCAATGGTATTAAAGAACCAAGCAATAAGCATGGAATTAATCATCCACCAATCATCAATTTTAGGGTCTTTCTTAGTAGGTTGAGCAACGGTCCCATCGACAAAGCCCAATTACTTCTTTGCCCGCAACGCAACTCTCATGGCTTTCGCCCACTCCTCATAATTCGAACCCTTCAACTGAACATGAGTTATGAGGCTTCCAGGGTGATCTACCGAGGTCAAGGTGTACGGTGTGATACCGCCTTCAAAATTATTCTTTGTATCGCCAATGGCAGCGAATTAAAAAAGAAAATAATTGCCTCAATTGTATGGCTCTGATACCATGATAAAATTCTCGAGAAAAGCTTATGTATTTCTCTGTATCTGTGTGTCGTTATATAACTTCACGTTACATCATATATTTATATGCGGCTGAGACAAATCAACCCTAGTTATACAGCTTTTCCGTAAGAAAGGAAATAACCAAAGATAAGCTAAAGAAAATATATATCGTGATTTGGGTAAACCTGACCAAATCTGCCAATATCTCTCTTTCTGAATCTCGTTCCCTCTCTGTCTCTCGCATCTCGCTCCCTCTATCTCTCGCAACAATCTTTCTGTATATATTTCACTCTCAATCTTTATCTCTCTATTTTTCGATATCGCGATCTCTCTGTTTCTTTCGTTCTCCACCACTTCAATCCACTATTGAAAGGGGTGGTGGTTATGGCGGTGGTTGTGGCAGTGGAGACGGCGGCAATAAACGGATGGTTGTAGAGGCAAGGAGACGGCGGCTATGGTGGTTTAATTAAGGTCATATCTATGGTGGAAGGCGTGGCGACGGTGTTGGGCATGGATGATGGCGTGATGGCGGCGCTCGGTGACGGTGGTGGTGGTGGAGGAGCGGATCTAGGGTTTGGTGGGGAAAATTAAAAAAAAAAATCGATTTTGGATGTCTATGGGTGTCTATGGGTCTGGCGGCTAGAGTTTGTAGGAGGAGTTAGGGTTTCAAGATGTCTTAGGGTTTTAAGATGTCTATGGGTGACTACGGATTACTATGGTTTCCTATAGGTTTTTGAAGATGTCTACGACCGAAAAAATTAAAAAAAAAATCATAATTTTCACTTTATGTAGAAAAGAAGGGAAAAATAGATTTTTATATAATGATACAATACGGAAAAAAAAAAAGACGTGTTTCACGTAAAAATTAAAAAAAACTGCTAGATGAAACTTAAAAATGTTAAATAATAAAACACGTGGATTATTTCCACATTTTGTTTTTAATTTTCTTATTTTCTAAACTAAATTTTAGTTATGGAATAAGTAGTGCTTAGTGGGTTAAGTATAGTGCTTAGTGGGCTAAGTAGTGCTTAGTGGATTAAATTATGTATTTTATTTTAACTACCCAACTAACCCACTAACCCATGTTCTTGAGTGCTCTTGTAGTTGGTTTTCTTGCAGATCATGGGCTGAGGAGTGGATGCTTGGAATTCTTATAAATACCGAATTCAATACTCAAGGAAGATCATCGATTCCGAAAAAAAAAAAACCGAGAGCTGAAAAGAATACATGAGTGTTTTAGTGTGTTTTTAGGATCGGTCGTTTGTACTCCTCATGAGTACAATCTTTACGTACTCCTTATGAGTACATTCTTTACGTACTTCTCATAAGTACATTCTTCGTAGTCTAGATTGTTTAGTATATATGTTTCTAGACTTGGTTGTAAGAATGATCAAGATAGTGATTCATTCATAAGTTCTTTACGTACTCCTCACGAGTACATCTTTGAAATCTAGAATTTTTAATATTGTTCTTTTTGTATCTAGATTTGAATGTAAGAATGATCATGAGAATGATTCATTCATAAGGAAGAAGTTTTCGCACCTCTTCTGTTTGTATTCTTGGAATACTGATTTTAATATATTTTTCCGTCCTGTAAAGGGCAAGTTCACAAGTCTTTACTTGTGAACATTTTTAATTCTGAGTATTGTTCTTTTATCTTTATATTTCCGCTGCATGTTTGTTCAAGTGTCATAACACTTAAGATAACACCTCTGTATTAAACGAATTCGGGACCATAAATTCTTTCAAATAATACCATAGTTCATCATAGTATATTTACAATTTGGTGTAATTTCGAATCTGTGAGTGGAGGAGCATTTTTTGAATGAATTTAATAAAGGGATTATTTTGTAGACCCCCCTCATTCCCAAATTATATAGAACTAACTACCAAGTGGATTAAACTCTAAGGGAAACCCCCCTAATTTCGAAAATATTTTGACATACCCCCCTGGGCCCCTCTGAAGTACCTAAAATACCCTTTTAAAATCAGTTTTAAACCCTAGACACTCACATTTCGGTCTCTCTTCTTCTCCCAGATTCAAAATCCCGCCTCCACAAACCTCGCACCGGTGAAATTGCTTCCCGGAGCCATAACTCTCTCTCCGGTGGTCGGAATTCGATGGTTTAACTACCGTTGGAATCCTCTCGTCGAGCTCTTTCTTTTGGTGGTAATTTCATTCAGTTTGGAGAACATATCTGTTTCTGCAATTTTTTTTCATTCGACGACGGTGGTCTTGCTGGAGGAGTTCTTTGTGTTCCATCAGTCGAAATTCGACGGGCTACCCACCGTTGGATTCCTCTCGTCGAGCTCTATATTTTGATGGTAATTTTGTTTATTTTTATGTTTACAGATTTATTTCTATAATTTTCTGCATTTGTGGGTGCGCGAAACTGTGGGTGGTTAGTAGCGGCGCCTAGGGTTTTGGTAGGAGGCGAGGGGGGGTGAGGATTCACTGTATGTTTGATATAAAATTTGTAGCATTTCCCAGCAATAACCTCTCTCTCTATCTCTCGATCTCTTAGTGTTTGTTGATTTTTGAGTGTTTTGATGTTTCATCAAATTTTGTTGATTTGCAACTAAGTAATTTTTTTTTGTTTTGATTTTGCAATTGCAGCTTATGAAAGCCATTGATCCTCTCCTTGAAGGTGTCAAAAAATTGGTTGAAGTCACATGTGAAGCAGTGTTTGACAAACTGTATACATTACTATACATAACTATACATTACTATAGTAACATGTAGTTACATATGCGTATATTTATGTATTTTCGATTTGTATTTTCGATTTGTATTTTATTGGTTCTGATGTGATTTATAATAAAAATATTTAAATTTGTAAATTTTTGTTGGGGTTTTATGAATTTATTTTGTATAAGTCAGTATTCGTGTGTGTATACAATTGATCGACTAAAAATATGGGGAAAAAACGAACATAACTATGAATTACTACAGGTACTATAGTTACATGTAGTTATTTTCAGTACTGTAAACATATTGTTTTGAAAATTAAAATAAAATTAAAAAAATTAATTTTTTTTTTTTAATTTAATTTTTTTTTTAATTTCAAAAAAAAATATATATATATATATATATATATATATATATATATATATATATATATATATATTAAACAAGCAGATTTATAAAAAAAAAAAAAAGGAAAATAATAATAAATAAATCAGCGAAAATGATAAATGCATGACCATAAATGCTGAATGCAGTTTGGCCGAAAATTGCACATAAGGGTAGTATAGTACTTTCGCTTCCCCAGGGGGGTATGTCAAAGGATGATTTGGGCTTGGGTTTATCCCTAGTTTATTTGGTGGCTAGGGGGGTATGTAAAATAACCCCTTTAATAAAAGATGTGAAGCAAATTTTAGTTAGACTTGTCATTTAGTTCTAATAAGGTTTGTCACTAGGAACTTATATCTTAAGACCCCATAAAAAAATTACCTGATAATTGTCATCCGCTTGGTTTATTGTCGTTTCCTAATTGATAAAATCGAAAAAAAAACGTAACAATTCGCGAGATTGAAAATGAGATAATTTGTTAAATTGTATGACTTTCTGTAATTTTGTTTAGAAATTACTTTGCAACCTATATATCAAAACCCTTTTTGCGGCTATCAAGCCACTTGTCACAATGACCATATATTTTTCTTTTCTCTGTAAAAAAATATTATACCAAATTTTGAGGGTAGATAAATTTTTTATACCATGCTACACTTCGAGATTCGCTGAGAAATTTAAGGACCATTGGGGTCATTTATATTTTATTTTGGCAGAATGCATATTGGGCCATTTGTAGATATTTTTCAAAATGAGAAAAAAAGAGATTATTTTTTTAAATAAACAGGCCTTTTTAAAGAGTTATGTCTAAAAAATAAAGAACAAATAAATGGGGCATTTTTTTTAATCCAACAAAGAAGAGATAGATCAAAACTAGAAAGACATGTAGATGATTGTTTGGATTTGTTCATGGACTAGTTCAAGGGCACTCGGCCTCTTATGGGTTCTGTCACTCTGACCTTCAAATAAATTGTCGAAATAATACAACGCCAAAAACAAAACCATTAGTCCAAATCAATTATTTGTAGATCATCACATTGGAATTTAGCCTACCCGCTAACAACTCCCCTCGAAGATAGCAAACAATGAAGGCTGAATAATATGAAATTGACTTGCAAAGCATAAAACTTATCATACCAGACATTGGTATAGGCTCTTCCTCAACATATGAGGTTAATCAAACATTTGGCACAACCTCCCTTTTAGTATAAGTCAATTTGTAATATGAGATCCCCTCGTCAATCACTTTTGCAATGGGACAACAAGAATGATTAAACTATTCCAGATGGTTTCTCAGAATGTGCGGCGTAATATTATTTAGCGGAAACATACTTGCAATAAACGAGCTTTACATATAGTGTCAGTATAAGAGTTCTATGCAGGTAAATGAGCTTTTCGATTTTTTTGTTGATGATGCATTTGTACGTCCTAAGTTGCCACAAAACTTCTGGCAAATATCTACTTTTTTCGATTCAAGTTCTAGTTGAACATCTAGCAACTCTCGCTCCCCAAATATGGTTGCAACTACATTTCCACTGACTTTCAAATTTTTATTATCGAATTTTAAGAGTTGAACTTGTTTGAGTTGGCCTCTATGCCTGAAAATCTTTGTTGCTCAAGGGTTACTTGGCACTTAAATGAT